TGAGGTCCCTTTTGGACCTTGGCACATACACTTGTTCACAGGCCTCCCCTCCCTGTATCTGTGCACAGCCCAGTTCCTGCCACCAGTTCCAAGGCACAGAGACTGATATGCCCTGGGACATAGCTGAGCCCTGCAGAGCTGTAGGAAGAATTCTGAGTGGGCCTTCTGCTTGTTTGGTTCTGGTGACCTGAATGAAGAGGGTGCCTCTAAAAGAGGGACCCACCTCAGATGTGACTGTTGGTGGCTGCCCCATGCAGATGGCAGAAGTTCCTGGACTTGGGCTGACGCACACAATCGCCTCCCGGCTGTGTTTCCTTCCCCTTTACTCCCACATTGCCTTGTGGCTGCACTGGTCAAGGACCACATGGCCAGCCCCAGGCTGCCCACCCACTGCCCCCAAACTGCTCTCCTGATTCTCAGAAGCCCCGCTCTCGGCCTTGGGGTTGTGGAGCGCATACCTCCCCAAAACGCAAGTCACACCTCCTTGGACAGGGCGGCTTTGGACTGAAGACCAGGTGGGCGAATCTTGGTACCAGCTGGGGCCATTAGTCAGGCATTCCAGTCCACAGAATGGATGATGTGGTCCCCAAGCAGCCCTCCACTGGTGGGGGGAAGCCAAGACCAGGCAGGGGGCCTGCCTCTTTCTCTTGTACCACATGGCCTCCTCGCTCTTTTTATTTTTGGGGTAGCTTACCCACAAGACATTTTTTTTTTTTGGTGTTAAAATAGACATAATATAATACTTACCATTTTAGCCATTTTTAAGTTTGCAGTTCCATGGTTTTAAATACATTAATAATGCTGTGCAACCATCTGTCTCTATGAATTTGACAACTCTAAGGACCTCCTAGACATGGAATGACACAATATTTGTCCTTTCGTGACTGGCTTCTTTCACCGAGTGTGAAATCCTCAAGGGTCATCCCTCTTGTAGCAGGTGTCCTTCCTTTTTAAGGCTGAATAATATTCCTTTGTGGGTGTGCTTTACGTGTCCACTCATCTGTCAGCTGGCGCTGGGGTTGCTGCCACCTCTTAGCTGTCGCAGTTAGTGCTGCTGTGAACACAGGTGTACAGAAATCTCTCCAAGACCCTGATTTCCATTCTCTTGGGTGTATACCCGAAGTGGAATTGCTGGTAATTCTATTTTTAGGTTTTTTGAGGAAGAACCACCCTCCTGTTTTCCGTAGCAGCTGTACCACTTTGTATTTCTACCAACAGTACATAAGGGAGCCAATTTCTGTTCATCCTTTTCTTGTTGTTGTTGTTTCAAAAATATAGTACTCATCCTTCTGGGTGCGTGGTGGTGTCTTACTGTGGTTTTGATCTTCACTGCCCTGACATTCAGTGCTACCGAGCATCTTTTCATGCGCTTACTGGCCATGTGTTTATCTTCTTCGTAGAAATGTGCGTTCAAGTCCTTCACCCAATTTCCAGTCAGGGCACTTGTTCTGCTACTGAGGTTTACTTCTCTGTATATTATAGATATTAACCCTTTATTTTTTATTTGCAGGTATTTGCTTCCAGGCTGTATTTGCCTTTTTACCTGTTGATAGTGCCTTTTTTGAACAAAATTTTGTAATTTTTATGCAGTCCAGTTTGTCTCTTTTTCCTTTTGATGTCTATGACCTTTGGTGTCATATCCAAGAGACCATCGTCAAATGCAATGCAATGCAGCTCTTGACCTATGCTTTCTCCTCAGATTGCTATAGTTTTGGTCTTACATTTAAGTATTTGATCCATTTTAAGTTAATTTTTGTATTTGGTGTTCAGTAAGGGCATCACCATTGTTCTAAGGAAACCCCAGCCTGGCAGGAGAAACCAGAGAAAGGAAGGGCACAGAGGAGAGAGGCACAGGCCACAGGTGGGGACAGGGTGCCCTGCTGGTGGGGTGGCAGGCACTCGTGAGCTGACCTGTGAAGATCAGGTGGGGTTCCAGTACAGGAGCAAGGCAAGGGGCCACTGAGGAGCAGCAGCCCCAGCTGGCCGAGACAGCCCTACAGAGAACAGCCCTGTGCTCAGCTTGGCAGGCTCCTCAGGCCCAAGCTGCAAGGGGAGGGATTTGGGTTTGAGAAGAATCTGGCCACAGGGCCATCATGCATGGCACTGGGAGGATGTGGCCGATGTTTTGGTCCAGTTGGGTGTAACTCCACATGGAGGCAGGGGACTTTCCAGCACAACCCCAGGCCGTGTCACCTCTTTGGGCTAGACCATTTCCTAAGAGTTAGGTCACTGCAGGGTGCCTCGAGGCATGTAGACTTGGTGCCTGGTTGCTGCTTGTCTAGGTGGCAGTGAATAGTGGTAGGAACCTACCATTTCAGGTGTGACCTTTGTCCCTATCACTGACCAGCCCAGGGAGAACTGGCCACTTGGGGCCTGAGTATACCTCAGATTCTCAAACACAAATTAAGGAAAACAATAATGACAACATGGGGCACCACCAGCACGGCTGGCCTTGCCTTCAGGAGGGAGGGCACTGGCAGGGGTGTCCCCAGGCGCCCTGGGCAGCTGCGGGACTTTGGACTCCTTTCTACACCTGAGGGCCTGCCGGCTCATCAGCAGGACCCAGGGAGCAGCCACCGGGTCCCTGTTCCACACTCTCATAGTCCAGGATGGAGAGAGGCAAGCATGGGTGGCATGAGAGACAGGGCCTTGTTAATGCCCTGATACTTGTTTACAAACCTCTCTTAGAATAGAAGTTCATTCAAGAAGATACGAAATAGGGTAAAATGCAAAGAAGAGGAAGAAAAAATAAAAAGACCCTTGTGATCTCACAACCTAGAACTCACTGCTGCTTGAATTCCTTCCCTGACCTCTGCTCACATGGCAGGTACATGGCGGGCATGTCCCCCACCCACGGTCTAGTGGGACTGTGGATAAAGGGCAGAGTTCCTCAGCTTCTTCATGCCTAAGCCTCTCTCCCACCTGTGCTCACTGCATGCCTGTGGTGTGCAGGATACTGCACGGCTCCCAGGCCCCAGGGGACGAGGGCTGAGCAATCAGGCCATGCTTGGTTCTAAGGGACAGTCACAGGTGATGAGGACACTGGGGTACTGGCTGCCCCTGGCTGGGTTCCAGGCCCTGCACTGAATGCTCTACCCCTAAGAGATGCTCGAGACTGGTGAGGGCAGGTTCTGTAATGTGGAGTCAAGTGCACAGGCCACGCAGCTGGGATGAGACTCATCATCCTGGAAGCACTGGGTGCACATGAAGGTTCGACTGAGGGGGAAAGGTAGCATGAGAGGTGCTTGCCGGCCCCCTGGCCATGGAGGCAGGTGGGTCCAGGGAAAGAACAGGCCTCAGGGCCTGCTTCAGAGCAGAACTGCTGGGCCTGACAGGCACAGAGGCCATCTGGGAGCATGGACGGTTGAGGAAACGAGATGAGGCCCCTGGCTCTCAGGGTCTGTTGGCCTTGGGTCCTTCCCATCCAAGGCCTGCCATGAGGCAGGTGGGGGCTTTAGAGGGGAGGGGTGAAGGCTGGCTACAGCAGAATGAGGAGGCTGCCAGAGACAGCCAGGCCAGGGCAGAGGTTGCAGGAAAGAGGCAAGAGTTGTGTGGGGCAGGCTGCCAGGTGGGGGCAGAGCCTGAGCTCTGGGTCTGCCCTGGTGGGGAGGGCCCTGGCCCAGCGGCTCATAGGTCATTGGGAGAGGCCTGGGAAGAGCTTGCAGCTGAGAGCTGGGTGCTGAGGTGCTGACACCCTGCCCAGGGTGTGAGCACAGCTGTTCCTTATTGACCATCAGTGTGGGAGCACAGACATGAAAGACACAGCCTGGGACCTCAGAGCCTGTGGACTGCCCCCTTGCCTTGTCTTGGACTCAGCGATTCCCAGTGCCCTCAGATATACTGTCCTGGCTTGCCTCCCACACCTGGCTGCTGCCCTGCACTCTGTAGCCCCTGCTACCCCAACTCAGCCCACCCTGCCCATGCCTCCCCTCCCCTCCCGCACTGCTACCTCACCCACCAAGAGCAAGGCTTCTGTCCACCCTGTGGGCTCCCAGTCCAGGGCCTCTGCCTTGCTCTGCTCCTTGCCTATCTGCTTACACCAGCCCTGGCCAGCCTTCTCCTTGTGAATGTCCTGCCCTGAAAGACAGCAGGAATGACCCAGCTCCCATGAGAGGTGCTGAGGGCGATTACCCAGTTACCCTGGCATGGGACCCCACCATAAACCAAGGAGGAGTTGAGCCCCATTGATGCTGTGGCCCATGTGGGTACAGCCCCTGCAGCTACAGGAGAGAGTGAGGGAGGTGGGGGGAGGACATCACAGTAGGATCGTCGTATTGAATCCTAACCACCACCAGACCCAGAGACTGAGGCTATGAGAGGGTGAGGTTGGCCGGGTCCAGTGGGCAGGAAGGAGCGGCAGGGCCCCAGGCTCACTCCCTCACTCCGAAAACCCTAAGGTTAAAGTCCTTGTATGGCTCTGGGCACGCTTTCCTCAAGCACCAGGCTCCAGGCACACTGGTACGGGGCATGGCTCCCAGGCACATTTGTTTCGCTGTGGGTTTGGGCACAACTCAGCAGAGGTCCAAAGAAGGGAGGGGGTTTGATTCACTGTTCTCTGGGCTGCTTCCCGACAAGGTCCGAGGTCTCCCTTTACCACCAGGCCTGTGGTGGGAGGAGGCTCACCCTCTTCTCTGTGTTGGCAGGTAAAGGGCGGATGCCCAAGGCAGGGGGGCCGCAGGGAGCGCCCGCGGCACTGGTGGCTGGCCTTGCAGCCACGCTTAGCAGCCCCGCCGCAGCAACCGGCAGCCCGACGGCAGCAGCCTAGGCAGACGCTAGAGTACAGCTTCCCACCGCCGGGAGGACAGGGAATGACTGCAGCCCATCGGGTCCCACGGTGGCCTGGGCAGGTGGAGTGGCCCTAGAGGGAGGGCCCGGCCACCTCCTCCCCCCAGGCGATCACCATGCCAGCTGGAGAAGAGGTGCTGGGGCAGGGGCTGCAGTGTGGCATGGCCTCGCCCCCCCACGCACGCTGAGCACCTCGAGGGCAGCAGGGTTCCATCCGCCGGGCACACCCGGCTCACATCTCAGCGTCCCCTGCTTGGTGGCGACAGGGAGAGGCACCCCGTCCCGTGCTCTGTATCTGGGCCCGCCGCTGCCGGACCATGGGATGTCGGCAAAGCTCAGAGGAGAAAGAGGCAGCGCGGCGGTCCCGGAGAATTGACCGCCATCTGCGCTCAGAGAGCCAGCGGCAGCGCCGTGAGATCAAGCTGCTCCTGCTGGGCACCAGCAACTCCGGCAAGAGCACCATTGTGAAGCAGATGAAGATCATCCACAGCGGGGGCTTCAATCTGGAGGCCTGCAAGGAGTACAAGCCCCTCATCATCTACAACGCCATCGACTCGCTGACGCGCATCATCCGTGCCCTGGCCGCCCTCAAGATCGACTTCCACAACCCGGACCGTGCCTACGACGCCGTCCAGCTCTTTGCGCTCACAGGCCCCGCCGAGAGCAAGGGCGAGATCACCCCTGAGCTGCTGGGCGTCATGCGGCGGCTGTGGGCCGACCCCGGGGCGCAGGCCTGCTTTGGCCGTTCCAGCGAGTACCACCTGGAAGACAACGCCGCCTACTACCTGAATGACCTGGAGCGCATCGCAGCACCCGACTACATCCCCACCGTTGAGGACATTCTGCGCTCCCGGGACATGACCACGGGCATCGTGGAGAACAAGTTCACCTTCAAGGAGCTCACCTTCAAGATGGTAGATGTGGGCGGGCAGAGGTCGGAGCGCAAAAAATGGATCCACTGTTTCGAGGGCGTCACAGCCATCATCTTCTGTGTGGAGCTTAGTGGCTATGACCTGAAGCTCTACGAGGACAACCAGACGGTGAGTGTGCGGGCTTTTCCTCTACTTGTTGCTGCCACTGCTGGCTCCTTGGAAGTGGGTGGGCTTGGGGGTATGGGCCAGCACGGCCGGAGAGGCTGCAGTCAGAGGGGGGAGCCATGGTGGTGAGGAACTGTCCAGGGAGCATGGTGTGGGGCATGGTGGCCATCATGGGCACTCAAGGACCTTGGGGTAGCGCCTGCTGTCAGCTCTCTCAGTGGCCACCCTAGCAGGGACAGTTCCCACTCTGACCTCGGGGCCCCGGCAGGCCCTCAGCGCTCTGAATGCCCTCTGAGTAATCACCATACCCTCAGGCTCCACCAGGTAGGGGTGCCCTCACCCAGCTGCTGACGAGGGGCTCAGAGACCCCAAGGTACCCAGGTGGCCTGACGTCAGTGCCACAAGAAGCCCATACCCCATGCCTGAAATACTCAGGGCATGGAGGGCTGCCCTCTGCTGAGTGGGGCCTGCTCCTCAGCTACAAGGGCAAGTTGCTTGGAGCCCAGAGGAGGGGCCCTTGGACACCTGGGTATCAGGGAGGCTCACTGAGGAGGAGAAAGGGGAAGCTGGGCCCTGTGAGGAGCTTTGTTCCCATGAGGTTGGGGGGCAGTCAGGTGCATTAGGGGAGTAAGCCCGGAGGCTGGGAGGGAGGTTGACAGCTCTGCCAAACAGGAGTGGGAACAGGGCCCAGGCCAGGCATTCAGGTGTCGGTCCGTGTAGCAGTTCACTAAATGCACAGAACTTCTACCAATCCCAGGCACTGTGCTGGGTCCTGGGAACTGCAACCACAACCCCACAACCCCAACTGGATCCTGGGATTCTGGTGGTGACAGGGTTCAGAACTGTTTCTGAGGTTTAATCCCCAGGGGTTGGGTGGGTGTAGGGAGTCTGTCAGGCCCTCAGCCCTGTCTAAGGACTACTGTGTGGAGGAGGAGGTCAAAGGCAGGTGGTAGGTGGACGCCCCAGAGAGTGGGGGCAGTGCAAGGAGGGGCCAAGGGGCAACGAGGGATGGTGCTGAGCCAGTGGGGGCTCAAGGGGGAGCTGCTGGGCAGGGAAGGAAGCTAGACCGCTGGCAAGGAGGGGGTGGCCACACGATGCAAGCTCAGCCCTCAACCAGAAGGCCCAGGTCACAAGGCACCATAGTGTCCTTGGATGCCCAGGAGTGGTGGTAGGGGCCGAGCAGCTGGATAGCATGGGGGAGGCCTGAGCTGCCCCACCCAGGCTGCCCTGTGAAGGAAGCTTTGTGCCAGGCAGGAACACTGAGCAGAGACCTGGAATCTGCCCTTAAGAGGCCTTTGATCCTGGGGGTGAGGGGCGTGGGAGCAAACAGGGGTCTGCAAGCAGCTGTAAGTGGTGTAGGACTGTGGGTGCCAGCAGCTTTGGGAGGCGGTGGGCTAGCAGGGGTTGGGGTGATGGTCATGGTGGGGGACCCACCATGCTGGGAAATGGGGGGCAGGGTCAGCCTCCAGGGTTCAAGGGACCAGGTGATGGCAAGGTAGGGGCTTGGTCCTTCACTCAGTCTTTTCTAAGGCAGGTGGCAGCTTTATTCTTTGGGTTCAGCCAGGAGTCTTGAGCCTGCAGCCCCAAGAAAGCCTGTGGGTGGCTGCAGGCTGTGGCCACTGTGCTGGGTGTCTGAGCGCTTTTCTGGACGGAGAGAGGGTCTTTGGCTTTCGTCAGGTTTCCAAGGAAGTCCAGCCTCTTGGAGGAGGGGAAATAAACAGCTTCAAGTAGTCGTGGAGATAGGAAGCAGGGCTCCCCTCATCTGCCCTGTGTGCATCCAGGGTTCTCTCCAGAGCTGTGCCAGGCAGTGACAGGGTAAGGGGTCTGGACTGAGGACACTGCATCCATGGGGCAGGGCAAGCCTGCAGCTCCCTGTGGGCAGGGCGGCCTTGCCCCTAGCACTATGCAGTTTCTAGGGGTTCTAGCTCCTCTTATTCTTCTGCCTATGCTCACTTCAGTGCCATGTGTGGTTCTGGGCATAGGAAGCATCCCAGACGGCGGGCGAAGTCGGGCTCTTCGATGAGGCTTTGCTCTGGGCAGACGGCTTGGGGCTGACCTGGCCAGGATGCAAGACCAGGGTCAGGTGCCCAGGTGAGGCCCCAGAACAGGTCTGGCTGGCAGGTCTGCCAGCCACACGGTACTCCCGTGGTCAGCACTCTGGGCTTCTGCCTGTTTCTGCTGTGTCCTGAGGCTGGTGACAGCCTGTCCTCTGGTGTCTTCCCGGGGCCTAGATCTCAGGGCTGCTTCATCTGTCATCTTCAGCACAAGCATGGCAGGTTCCTTCAGCACTGGGCCAGGCTCCCACACTGTCTGCTGGAAGGCTCTGTTGGCCAAGCCTGTGCCCAAAGGCATGGCAGGACGTGGGAGGCGGGATGCCTGGGCCCTAAGCTGGTCCCGAGTCTCATGAAGGGATTTGGCTATCATCTCTGCTCCCTGAGCCTATCAACTAGGAAGTGGCCCAAGTGTCCTCCAAGATGGGTCCAAAGCCAGGCCTTCTCCTGCCTGAGGCCTGACGGGCTCCACGTGGCCAATCCCCTACCTCTTCACCGTCTCTCTCCTTTCTGCTTTGGCCTCCGTGGGCTTGCTTCACTGACATGCTCTACTGTGTCCAGCCTTAAGAGTGTGACCACCCTGCCTCTGCCTGTCTCAGTCCTTCAGGTCTCATCTCAGGAGTCACCTCTTTGAAAGGCCTTCCCTGACCCAGCGCCAGCACACCCCTCCATTGCAGCCTGTCATTACGTATGGGTCCCCACTCATGTGCTGGTGAATGGCCGCACAGATGGGCTGGGTGGACAGATGGCTGTACAGGCAGCCCCACGCAGGCCCTCACATCTCTAGCCTACTCCCGGCCCTGTGCCTTGGGGGCACATGGCTAGCAGCCCTGGGCAGGGATGGCAACCCCTGGCCTGGCTGGGGGCGTGGTTTCTGGAAGACCTATATTTGCCCCCCGTAGGCAGCCAGGCTCTAGAGCTGCTCAGGGAATTTTCTAAAGGGAGGGGCTAGAAGCCAGGCCTGTACCCCACCGCTGCCACCACCCTTGTCTCCACAGGCCTGGGGAGGTGCTTGTTCCCCAGAAAGGAAATTCTTCATGAGAAACTCAAGCGAGGCTGGAAATTCACTGGATTCCAAATAGTTGTGACCTTTCATGCTCTACCAGCACTATCTCAGGATGGAAAACAAACAGGCTGCCGAGGAAAGACAATAGCCCCTGTGGTTCCTCCAGCCGGCTGGCCGCCACGGTGGGCTGGCCGCCCAGGGGAGAGCCGGGCCAGGCAGAGAGCAGAGCCTGCCTCTGCCGGCGCCTGCAGGCAGCTCCTATCACCACCGCCGACCCGCCTCTCTGTGTCCCTGCCCTCCTCCTGCCAGCCAAGGCGAATGCAGCCATCGGTAACAGGACAGGGCTGCCCCCCATGCCTTCTTTGCAAGGGCCCACAAGTGTCCCTGGGCCCCAGCAAAGGCAAGGTAGCCAAGAACCAGCCGTGCTGTTTTTTGCAGAAGCTAAGGGAACCTGGGGGCCTGGTGCTACACTCTGGACATAGCTCCTCAGAGGTCTTCTCTCCCTCTCGGCTCTTGAGTCCTCATCTTCTCTCTGTCAGTGGGCTGGCAGAGCCCCCCGCCCCCATGCCTGGCAAACGAGCCACAGCCACCACCACCACCTCCCCCCATCCCCCACCCGCTGGCATCTGCGTCAGCACGTTGCCAGGGGTAACGTCAGGATCTCTAGGTTCCTGGGCGTGGAGGGCTGCAGCAAGCACAGGACAGCACCTGGGCAGGGGAGGCAGATTCTGGGCTGTCCATGGACCACGGCAATGAGCAGATGCAAGGAGCCATGCCCGGCATTCATAATGATTCCCCGCCCTGATCCTGGAAGGATTTAATGGGTCCTGGGCCTGCCTGGGGCCCCATCGCCGCATACAGCCCCGGCAGGCACCTAGGGGCTCCAGAGTCCGTGGTGGGCCCCTACTATCCGCCATGGGGCCCCCTCAGAGAGCACAGGAGGCTAGACCACATCCCAGGGGTCACCTGACTGATCCTGCGGGGCGGCGGGAGCTGTGCCTGTTGTCCTGGTCACGGGTCGGGGGACAGGTGGGGGTGCCCAGGCTTAGGACAGTCATGGTCCCTCCCTTAGCCACACCTGCTGCCTGGGGCCAAGCCAGGACTCCCTGCCTCTGGCCCACCTTTTGTGGCAATGCCATTTCCTGGCAGCTCTGCCTGCCTTTTGGGCCTGTCCCATGGCCTCTTCCAGGAGTAAAGAGAGAGAGGGCTTTAAACTCAGAGACTCGGCCACTGCCCCACTCGGGCACAGAAGCATACTGGCTAGCCACCCATCCCACTGTGACAGTCCCAAGAGGCTGTGTGCCCCAGGCCCTGCCCCCGCCCCTTTAGTACCCCACCAGGTGGGGCCCCAGCACCCTGCTGCAAACCCCTGGGAGGCACAGGAGGGTGGGCACCTGCCCCCCAACCTCTACCCCTGCAGATCTGCTAGTGGACTCTGCAGCTGCTTAAAGGTAGAAGATTCTTCAGAAAAGACAGATGAAAAGGTCCAAGTATAAAGTATCAAAGTGTTCTTACATGAAAACCCACAGGGAGCTCACTAGTTGCCCATTTTCTGGTGGAGCTGTTGGTGTTCCCGCCCCTGTAAGGGGCCTGTTGTGTACCTGCTGTGTACCTGCTCTGCAGATGCAAGGCCTGGACTAGAGGCCAGACACTGAGGTGAACCCAACTTTCCCGACAGCACAAGGAGCTAGGTTTGGGGGGCGGGCAAACATGCTGCACGGTTGTGGTATCATTTCTACAAACTTTATGCTGTCCTGGGACACCTGCCCCCTCCTTCAGAACCTGGCAGTTCCCAGGGGTGTCCCCTGCTTTGCTTTCATGCAGGATCAACTGTGGCCACAGCTAGGTGTGGCCTGGGCCACAGCAAGGCTCTAGGGGAGGCACGGTGTCCCCACTGCTTATCCAACAGATACCTGACTGACATGTGTTGAGGAGGGTCCCTGGGA